AGTGGTACTGGCTCCTACCCTGGGGGCTTTAAGACCAGGCTAGACAATCACCTTGCTGGGGTCGTTTGACCCCCGTACTCTTTCCTGCCATGGCAGGGGGTCGGACTTGATGTTCTGCTCAGGTCCCTTCCGACCCGACCAGCTATGAAACTATGAAACTATACGCAGCTGCTTAAGAGATTCGGGGGTGGCAGGTGCATGTGAGCCTGCACTGTGCACACATGGCCAGCATGGAGTGAGGCCAGGTTGTTGCAAGAAGGCCTGAGCAGGTCCTCTGCCACATCCTGCGCAGCCCAGCTGCTGTCTGGGACAGTCTTTTTAATTTTGTTTGTTGTTCCCCCCCCGAGCAGAGAAGGGGACAATGACAGCAAGGAAGAGACAAGTGGAACTGGGGAAAGCAACAGCAGCTGTGGGTCTTCCGGTGGGAGCTGGAGCCACAGCGATAATAGGGGACAGGTGAACTGAGTACGCGACCCTGTAAGCGGGGTGGGGAAGAAAGGGAAGGGTCGGTCTGGTCTGCGAGACCAGGAGTTGCTTGTGTGCGTAGCGTGCAATGCGGATATTGTAACGGGTCCGGGTGGCCAGCGGGCCTTTGCACAGGTGCGCGGGTGCGGTTTTTGTAATGGGTGAAGGTTTTCTTTCGTGGAGTGATACTAAGAGTGTAGATACATACAACCATATATAGAGAGAGACACATATTTTTACAAAAATAAATAAAATTTCAATCATGCCATCTGTTGCAACGGGGGCAAACCCACACTTTTTCCTCCGGTCTCCTTTATGCTGTGCTCTCCACTGCTCCTTTGCCTCTGAACTTGCCTGTTGTTCAGGTTCTTCTTTGCAATGCTTCCTTGCCAAGCAGAACTAGCTGTATCCACTTACACAGAGCTGTGTTTAAAATGTATCCTGCCCAGATCATCTTGGGGTGGCCACCCTGCAGTACAGGTGTGAAGGACAGCTTGCATGTGGTGTGCAGGAGGTTGTGTCAGGGTAGCACTTGGTTCTAGGGATAATTTATGGCGTACCTGCTAAAAAGGCTGGTGCCCCACTGCTCTAGTGTCTGATGCCTGGTCCAGTGGTTACAGGGGAATGCGAGTGAATCCGTTCCCTGCGTTCCTTTGGGCCGTTTGCACATCAGCAGGGCAAAGGGAAACTTTTAGAAATAAAAAGACATAGCTTGTAAAGTCACATACGTTGGCACAGGGCCCAGGAACAGGGGTAGTCCCTGAAGTGACTTTAATTTGCAATGGTTTTGAGTTAGGAGCTTGCAGACAACTGCATACCTGTCTATGGCAAGAGCTTTAGCTAGTAGCTTCAACAGAAGAGGACGTGTCAGGATTTGGGGGACCTACCCCTGGCTCTGCAATGCTTCGGGCAAGTTGTGTGAAAGTTTGGCTGATGCCAGAACTGCCATCGACCTCAAGCCTGACACTACCACCCATGGCTGGTGTTGCTGCGCATTGTCCCTTCACCTAGGTAGGTGCTGAAGCCCCACGTGTTCTGCCCCGACGCAATGGAAATCCCTCCTTAATCATGAACTACGCTTCAGAAGGGCCATGAGTCATTGAAAAAAAAATTTATTGCAAAATTATACAACTGTCATAGTTATGTGGTACAAGAACTCGGCAAAATAAAAGGCAATCAGACGCTTGCATCCACATGATGCAAATCATTCACAATCTCCCACAGTGTTTTCACCCGCTCCCACCCACCTCATCCTACAGGATGTGCAATAGCACATGGGTTTCAGTGCAGATTCCCTGGAGTATTGTCTGAGCATATACACTGCATATTGTCTTTCCTGTGCCTTCTGGTTATACCCCAAGACCTTCCCCATATACCCGAGATTTTCTCTCTTTTTTTTGGTTTTTTTTTTTTCAGAACTCACCTATGGAGGAGTGAAGAACAGCAATGCCCTTCAGGCTGACCTGTATGTAGTTCTGGGCACACAAGCTTTACGGTGATTTTGTAACTTGTAGCTACCTAAGAGAGACTAGGTCAGGTCCAATTTTGGCCCAAATTATATATCTGTATCTTAGGAATAAGACCAATAGGAAAGAATCGCACCGGTTTTTAATAAGTTAACGGAAACGTTCCTCTGTAGTGCTGAAACCCAGCCGCTGCAGTATTTGGCCTATGCATAGGACTGTGAAAGTGGACTGGATTAGAAAGGAACATGAATGAGAGGAACTCTTCGTGGAGCCAGTTTTGTCATCTAAGCAGGTGGATGACACTGAGCATCAATGCCAAATCAAGCAAAGAGCCTGCCACTTTTAACAATCTCAAGTATTACTAGCTCTACAACTTGGCTAGGCATGTGAGAACTGCACGCGTGCTTCAATGTCCTCATCAACCCTCGACTGGAGTTAGTTGTGACGCTTGCTGAGAAGCACATTGAAGTTTCTCAGATGTAATTATGAAAATGTACAGCTCTTCTTGTCCAGGTCAGTCAATAAAGAGCAAGAGCCTGGGGATGTCCTTTTTAGAAAGGGGTCAATGGGAATCCAGCTTATGGGGGAAGTCTCAATCTGCATATTTAAAAATATGGAAATGAAAGGCCCACTGTAGCTCCCAGCAGGTGCCTTTCCATTGACATCTGTTTGGACTCTTAAGGGACAAGCCCGTCTGCCTAGTAAGACACCCTTTGCCCTGTAAACTATTTCTTGCCCCACCTGCACCCTGACAAACAAAAAACACCAACGGAAATGAACTCTCTCTCGTTGGTTTGGTGTTAATTAATTGTGGGTCTCCTGCTGCTGAAAAGTGTCAGCTGGATCGCCCTAGAGACTGTCACCCTCTGTCACCCATGGCTTGGGGACCCACGCAGCTAGTTGAGAAACAACCTTCTCCACTGGAAAGCCTTCGCCCCGATCCAAAAAGAACGAGTGAAAAGGGGTTTTTCTCTATTCGGCTCTGGGCCTCTTTGCTGAGACACCGTTCAGAAGTAGGATTCATTTTCCATCAAGTGCTTGCTGTGATGCTGATTGAAGCTGATCCTGCAGATGAGGAGACTATGTGTTTTTGGTTTGTTCTGCTCTTATAAGGGGGGGCAGGGGAAGCAGAAAGTCCTGCACAATTCAGTGCAGGGCTGAGCTCTGTTGAAGGTGCAAGCACATGGCCCACAGACTTGCAGCATCTGCTTCCCTGGACCACTGTGTGTAGAAGCTTGTTCCCCATCATAAAAGGGAGAAGGCACTTACACTAGCTACACAGGGTCCCTTTCTACTCTACCGTCAGGACTGTAGCCGTGACTCTCCCTGGAGCGCACGGGATCCTCTCCTTTCCTTCACTGAGCAAAAATATAGGTGACAGATAAAGGCACCGACTCGCCAACTTCCACATGGAGCCAGCAGCTTCCTGTGCAAGGAAACAGTAATGCTGACACCTGTGTCAGTGGGCATAATATACCTTTAAAGAACAAAGTAAGCTGGGAGGGCAAAATGGGGACAGAGCTATGTTCCCTGTGTCTACGGCAAACAGGCAAGTGATGGACATGGAAGTGGGTTGGGTGGCACCTTTCTAGTAGTCCCAATGAATGGTATGCTTCTTGGGAGACTGTCACGGCACTTACTGTAAGGACTCGATGTACTACAGGGAAGGGAACCCTGGCAACAGCCTAAAATCTCAGCCGACATAGCTTTGATTGAGAGTCAAGCCCCAGGAAACGTATTCCTCCTGCCCCTCTTCCCTTTGAGAATTTCCCCTTTCTCCTCCCATGAGGTGGCCCTTTTATTTTTTTTTTGGTGGGTTACTCTGGGTGAGGTAAAGTGTACGTTGGATTTACCATCAAAATGCACTCTGGTCCAAATAGCACCCATCAGTTCGTAAAGGATATGGAATAACATTTCCCCATTTAAAACAAGAAAAAGTGACCCTGAAATTCCCAACTACAACTCATCCCGCATTTTGTCCCCTTTGGGCCTCACCAGCCTGCCAATAAAGAGGATGGAGTTAGTTTTGTTGTCCTTAATCAAAAAGATGAAGGGATGGTCAGCATAGAAGAGTTTGGGGTTCCTCATTTCTTCTCGGCCGTAGATGTCGGCATCAAAGGGGTTCCCCTCTGTGTCCCACTCGAGGGCAGCAGCATGGAAGACATTAGACAGGTAGAGATCTTTTTTGCCAGAAATCTTAGACAAGTCGGCCTTGTTTTTGTCAATGGCTTCGGTCAAGCCAAGGTCGGCCAAGTGTTTCTGTGATCAACGAAAGAGTTGAGTTAGAGCTGATGGAAGAGGCTGACTTTATGCAGTCATCTCGTCATCGATTTGGGAAGCCAAAGTCTGCCTTCCACTCCACCGGTAGAAATGCAGAGTGGCTCACGTCAAATGCAGCGAGGACTCTGGATAAGGATCTTTAAAAGGAGGCTTGATAACTACCTAGCTGGGGTCATTTGAGCTTAAACTTAGCAGGGGTCATAAAAGCCCTGTATTCATTACTGCCCAGGGCAGGGGGTCAAACGAGATAATCTGCTCAGGTCCCCTCCAACCCTACTTCTATGAATCTGTGAATCCAAGGGGGTGATAACAGCATGGTGTGGCTCCAGGGTGGGCAAATTTGACTTGGATCCTGCAATGAGTGGAGGAGTTGGAGGAAGAGTTTTGTGAATGAGCCGATACCGCTGCAACCTCAGAGCCTTGCTTATAGATATGGGCAGAACATATCTATCATATCTTTATCATATCATCATATCTTTGAACAGAAGTACTAAATCGTGGTCCTACTGAATTACTCTTGCATGCAAATAATAAAATAGGTCGCTTATACCAAGTGAGCTTGCTTGTAAAAACCCCCAGCTTTGTGACTGTCTTATCTTAACTCCTAAGTAGTTAGAGCAGGGAGCTCCTCATTTGCAGATCAGCTAAAGACTCAGCGTGGCTCTGCTTAGGGCTGCATGTTGCAAGTACGTCCATGACAGCTGTCCTGCCATGAAGCCTACCATCCCAAGAGATGTCTATTCGGGAAACAGCTGGGGAAGCACCCAAGGAAGAATCAAAGGTTTCCTTCCACACCAGGCTGGTTTTTGGCTCCAGGAGACAGCTTACCTGAAGATCGTGGCTAACTTCCAGGCTGACTTTTGGCAGGGAAATGGCCACTGATCTCTTCTTCAGCTTGCTGATCCACATTTTCAGCTGCTCTCTGGTCAGCAACTTCTCAACTCTCTCCAGAGGCTCAACGTGGTTTGGCATGATGAAGATCATGCTGGAGAGCTTGTGAGCAAGTGGCATCTCTACAATCTGAAGCTTCTCAGTTTCGTCATCAAAGTAGTTGTAGAGACCTTCAGAAGAGAAACCCAGGCAGAACAATGAGACGTGGGGAACAAGCAAAGCCGCTGAAAGTTTCTCATGCCAGTGGTGCAATGGCAGAGCGGTTGAGCCACCCTGCACAGAACTCCACAGAAGCAAGCTTGAGGCTTGCTCTAAATCTGTGCTGAAGACGGCTCCCAGTTTTCCCAGCTGTCAGCAGGTACCTGCTCCATCAGACTGAGGAACCCAAGGCAGTGGGGGGCAATGCACACCTCTTGCTTGTGTGACACTCGCTGTGGACGCTGGCATGCTTTAGCCAGGATGGGCCCCCTAGGCGCAGGCAGACGTTCACTGTCCCTTTCCCCCCAGTGCAATACCATCTGCAAACTTGCTATCCATTTGGCCCCATGCAACCAGGGTTGCTTGAGTGATAGCCATTACTCTCAAAGCCCTTTCTGATGGTTATGGCATCTGTTCTTCATGGACAAGCATCTGTATCTACATCTGCTTCCACAAATGTCTTTAAATCAATAGCAAAAAAAAAAAAAGCAATGGGGATCTTGGGGGGTAAGCTCAAAAACCTTACCTGTGCGGTGCATCATGGGAACACCCACGGTGAAGGAACGGGTCACCATGAAGCCACGGTTGTCCACCATCGTGTGGTGGAACCTCTCGTCCCAGTGAGCTAAGGAAGCAGAAGGAGAAGGGTCAGCGATTACAGAAGAGGAGCACACAGCCCTAAGTCCAACAGCTCAATGAACCCACTGCTGATAAGCCGCATGTGGCATGCTCTGGGACAGTGCACTAGAAGATGCTTTTGCTTTAAAAGAAGTGTCATTTTTGCTATTGCTTTTAAAACTTGAGGAGAGGCTAGACTGGGACAATAAGCTGGAGAAAGCAATTTACTTCCCCCCCTCCTAAAGGTCAGGCTTCTCTTCCATGTTGCTGCTGCTAACCCACAATGGCTCCTTTGTTCTACACCGGGGCATTTCACTCTGGAGGAAAGACCCCTGGTACATAAAGTCCTTTTGTATTCCAGTGAATTTTGAGCTACATGCTCTTCTCCTTTATCCTAGTGCAATTCCACCCACTCACATGAATGAGGGGCTGAACCAAGCCCTCCGAGCTGCTTGTTGACTACCTCGAGAAGTTGAAGCATATTGTGGGCTCAAGAGCAAACATCATGCCTAGCTAGCTTGACCGTGATCCCTTGTCTCAAGAACCGAGGGACCCCTGGGCACTTGACTTACGCTTGAAGAACATGGCATTGACAATCAGGGCTCCATCAGTCTTCTCCACGTCCTTGGTGACCTCAGGGAGCTTCCCGTTGGTGGTCTGGGAGGCCCACTCATTGATGGACTTCAGGGCACTCCTCTTGTCCCGGAAGTTGATCTTCGAGTGCTCGTAGTTGTAGTGCTTCTTGCTGTTCTTCACAAAGTCGTCAGCGAAGCTGATGGAGCTGGGGCCATACAGGCGGTTCCCAATCTTCCAGGTCACGTTGCGGGCCGTGCTGTTGCTGACCTCGTTTAGGAGCTCCGACAGCCCGCTGTGCACGTAGTCATCGTTCAATTTGTCGGCGCTGAGGACGGCCTTGGCTTGGGAGGCTGTGGCAGCCTTGCCACCAAGAGACACCAGGCCTAAGGAAGAGGCCACCACCACAGGAGACACCAGGATGTTCTCCATGTTCTTGTCTTTGGCCATTGTGTGGTAGAGGTTGAAGGCCAGGGTGGCACTGCGATCTGCTAAGGCATTGGCCTTATCGCTCAACTTCTTGTCTTCAGAAGGCACTGCGGCCACGAGGACACCAAGGGCCAACAACTGGATTGCCCACATGGTTTCAGTAGAGACCGGCACCGTGGGGAACCTGCAGGGCAACAGAAAGTTTTGGCTTAGGACAACCCACCACTTTCTAAGCAAACTTGAGCCTAGTCTATGCTTCTGCTCTTCCGTTTAACCCTATTCTTAGACTCGAACGATGGCACACTGTCTTTGTCTTCATGGCTCGCAACTCGGCACCTTAAATGTGGGACCAGTCTCCAAACTGGGCACGAGCCCAGCCTCCCTGCTTTGCAAACACCAACCTGCACCCTTTGAAGTTGTGCATGGGATTGTCTGCAGAGATAAATTACAGCACGCACGTAGCAAACAGGTAGCTGATGCCTGAGTTCAGACTGCAATCTGGTGAGTGTAAGAGAGTGATTTCTAACTAATATATAACAAGGATGCTTTGCTTTTGGCCTCTTGAAGTGACTTGCTCAGAGAGGCAGGAGGTTCAGAGCTCCAGGGGGTAAAGCTGCGACCTTTCCAACTCAGAGAGGTTCAGATCGGCTTAGGAGCGGTTGAAAGGCTGTCAGACCATCCAGCAGTCATGCAACATCATTGCTGCTGGGTGGGCCTGTGACCGCAAGTTTTAGACACAGCACCACAAACTGCAGTCGTGCACCTCTGCAGGCGAGGACTGTGGAGGACGAGGGTGGCTGAAAACCTGTCTGCTTCTGCCAGCTAGATGGAGCTCTTGAGCTCCCAGTAATCGGTCGAGACGGATCGTGTTTGAGCGAGCGAGGGCGCTCACAGCATCCTTTCAGAGATTGCTTGCAGGGGGGGCCACGCTACATGGTTTTGCCAGCACAGCTAGTCCAGCGTGTGAGTGGGGGTGGGGAGGGGGATGCCACAGGCATGCAGCTATACCAGCAACCCCCTGGGCTGCACGCATGTCACTTCTGCTGCAATTTATAAATTGATGGGTTTCGTCGGTCCGGCTCGTCTCGTTTGGGAGCTCTGTTCAGTTCCTTGTGCTGCTGTGAGACCCGTGCCCACTACAGCAGTGCTCCTCAACCGGTGGGTTGTGACCCAAAAAGGAAAGGGTCACAAACAAACTTTAAAAACAGAGAAAAACATGGGAAACCGTAGCTTTTCCCTTGCAAGCTGGCAGAGCCCCAGCCTGCTTGGGGCCTCTCACGCCCCACATACCAACCCGCCCCACACCGAGGGGCTGGGGGCAGCGGGGCAGGAGTGAGGGGCACTGAGTTGAGACCGATTGATACTTTCAGATGGGCACTGGTACAAAAAAGGTTGAGAACCACTGGTCTAGAGGGCTTCACTAGTGCAGCCAATTCGCAAAATATTTGTAGCAAAGCATAGCCCTGAACGCTGCTGGTATTTTGCTTTGCTATTAGATCTCACTTCATCGACATCTCAAAGTCCTTAAACAAAGCTACTTCCTGCTAAGTAATTAGGGATTTAAATTCCAGTCCTATTCACCCCATTAATGGGTTGGGGATTGCTTTTTTGGTATGATGTCTTTATGGTGGCCAAAGACCCAGCACGGAGTTCCTCGGGCATCGGTGCCAGGGGAAGTGGCTAAGCTACATTCCTCTGTCGTGTCTCCCTCCTCGTCCGGGCCTGGGGCTGACTTCACGTTTGGTTTCGTGCATGCAGAGGCAGGAAGCAGCTGGAATAGCAGCTTGGAGGTTAAGGTATTCACGGGGGGGAAGCAGCCCAGGGAGTTACAGACACAAAAGGAAGCAGTTAAGCATGTAGCCACAAGCAAGCAGACTCCACAGCGAACCCGTCTCCCAGAGGGTGGGAATTACTTGGATGGAGGCTTCATTTTTTAACTTAAAACCCTTCGAAACCATAGGCTGGAGAGACTGAAAATGAAGAGTGATTTCTTTAGCCCTGGCCATCTGAAGGAAAGGCTGGACCTATAAATACACAGCCGCTCGTTCGACCCTTTCCCCACTATGGATGCACGCCTGGGCTTATGCAGAGACAAATGGTTTGTGGTCTGGTTTGGTTTTGCTCTAAAGATACCTTGGCATTGTTTCATAGTGAGGTCAACGTTTGCCTTTTTCATTCTGAAAGAAAAGAGACACGTGAAGTAGTTCTCTCGAGACGGGCGCAAAGACTGCGACAAATCAGGCAGGGCCACGAGCGGCTCAGCTGGGGACCAGTGGGAGCCCCCACCACAACCTGGCGCCGCCTGCGAGGCCCTTTAATTAGCAAGACGGCAACCCGCAGGCCGACACTGCAATTAAATCGCTGCGCTCTGCTTCTCCAGGGACCTCTTCCACCCATCCCCAGGCCTCAGCCCTGCGGCGAGGGGCATGCCGGGAGAGCCAGATGCCAGCGTGGCATCCCAGTAACCCCAGCGTTGCATCCCACAGACCCTGCCGGGCTCTCACAGCCTCCGTGCCCTAGACAAGAAGGTTTCTGGAGCTGCAGGAAGAGCGGGGCGGATGCACAGAGAAGTAAGCGGCTGTGTTAGTAGAGTTGCTCTGGCCAGGTTACCATGTGAAGCACTGCCAGCGCATGCCCCGTCCCTACCTGCGCTCGGCGGTCCCCCGGGCTCCCAGGGACGGAGGGAGCAGGGGCAGGCGGCTCATGCAGACCCTCAGCCGGGAGAGGGGGGCCAGGGTGGACCGAGGGGCAGCCTGTTCCCGCGTCCACCCTCCCCGACTGGGGGCAGGAGGGGACCCACCCTGCACCGGGCATCCTCCTGCGCCCCCTCCTCGGGAACCCGGGGACCCCCACACACCAGCCCCCCAAAATGGACAGACACACACCAGCACCCTCCCAAAAAAACAGTTCACCCTTCCCTTGCAGGAGCTGCCTCTGCTGCTCCCCCCAGGGCTGCAGTGCGGGGAGATCCTGGCATGGATCTGCCCTCTCCGCACAGGCGGGGAGCCGCGCCCCGCACCGGGGTCTCACCTGGGTCGCGCTGCGGGTTGCACGTGTGTCCGCTCTGTCCCACAGCAGCCGCGCGAGGGGTTTATAAGCGCCCGGAGGAAACTTCTGGAAATGGCCGAGAGCAGCCGGAGCTGGGACCGTCCCCATCCCGCCCCCGTCCCCGCCCCGGTGCTGGGGCAGGGAGGGAGGGAGGGAGGACCAGGCGCTGGCGGTCCCCTGGTCCTCCCCTGCTGCAGCCTCCTGCACTACAGGTCTGGGCAGTGATTCCCAGGCTGGGCGGCTGTCTGTCCTCCCCGACGGGGTCCAGACCCTTGGGAATGAGTCTCAAACCCCCCTGCCCCCTTGTCTGTGTGCAACTACTCAGTTGGTCTAATAAAAGACATCGCATCTGTTCAAAGAAGCTTGCCCGCTTGTGTCCTTCCAACCAAAACCCTCCTCTGAGTCGCACGCGGGCACGTGAAAAAGAGCTGCCTTTTGTTCGGTTTCAATTGAGCTCCTGCTTGGTTTCCCTGTCGGCCCCCAGTCCTTGCACTGCCACGCAATTATTAATCCCGAGAGACTTTCCCTTCATTGTGTACCCTTCTCATGGCTCCCCTCAAGTGGCTCTTTAAACTGAGCAGGCCTGGGACAGCGCTGGATTTAGGTTTATGGCAGCTTAAGCTTAGGACCTCGCAATATGAGGGGCCTCTAAAATAAGAAGCCCTCCCACCCCCGACTCCATATTGCGTTTTATAATAATCAGTTGGCAAATAAAGGAGATATGGGGAAATGACTCTCTAAATATGGACATTAGTTAGATCATTGGTTTTTTCTTTGTCCCGTTGCATATATGCAAATATAAAGCTTTTGTATTTCTATTTTCAGTGTCCTTTTTGTGAGTATTATTTTTATCGTCTCAGGCCTCTTCAGCTGGACATAGCTTAGGGCCTCAGCAGGTCGTAATCCAGCACTTCATATGGAAACCCGTCCATGCCGCAAACTATCCTTGTGGCCCATCTCCTTTAGCTCTTATGTCCTTTTTGAGGGAGATGTAGGGAGCAGAGCTGGGCATGCATGAGTAGGGTGGGGGTGGATGCATGTGCTGGGAGGGTTTGCAGGGTCTGGGGCTTATAGACAGGCTTATAGACAGGTAACAGTGGGGCTGGCTGGGGGTGCATTTTTTTTATAATGTACTTTGTGTTCCAGATCAAATGAACCAAATCTGTTCCAAATCATATCGATTGAGCAGAATTCAAATTATTCCAAAAACCATGTTGACTGAGCAGGAGGAACTCAACACCATGTACGGCGCTACAACCAGCAGGCATCGTCCATCCCACACCTCTCCCCCTAGGACTTCAGATCATGAACGACCCATGCACCCAGCGGCTGGGGGGGCACAGCGGCGGCAGGAGCGTGGCGGCAGTAAGTGGGAGCTCCCCCAGATGCTCCCAAATCCATTGGCGAGCCCAAGCCTGCAGGTCTTAGGGTTTGGATGCCCCCAGATACTAAAGACAGGCATCCTCCATCCCAGACTCTTAAGTCCAGACCTTCAGGTGCTCCCTACACTTGATTTTAGCCTGTTCCAGTGCTTCACCGCCCTCCTAGTGAAAAAGTTTTTCCTAATATCCAACCTCAACTTTCCTTGCTGCAGCTTGAGCCCATTGCTCCTTGTCCTGTTATCTGCCACCGCCGAGAACAGCCCAGCTCCATCCTCTTTGCACCCTGCTGCAGGGAGTTGAAGGCTGCTATTAAATCCCCCCTCCATCTCTTCTTCTGCAGACTTAATAAGCCCAGTTCTCTCAGCTGCTCCTAAGAAGCCATGTGCTCCAGCTCTCAAACCATTTTTGTTACCCTCTGCTGGACTCTTTCCAACTTGCCCACTTCCTTTCTGCAGTGGGGGGCTCAAGCAGTCTTCATGATGCTTTTGTTTGCTTCTGCAATTTCTTTGCTTCCCTACTAAGTCTGGTAGGAGCATGGACAGCCGTTCCCATGGTAGAAGATAGCTTCGATTTCTAGGATCGGAGCATCAATTTAGTCATCTAGCTTTGGACACTGATCTCAGGATCAGCTCTGTTACCTTGAAAGCACCTTGGTACAGGGACTGTCTTTCTATTTGCTTAAAAGTGCTGTGCTTCCTTGCAAGGCTAATATTTATCTGTGCTCATGGATGGGCTAGAGATCAGCTCAGTCTTTCTGCCCTAGACAAACAGGTGTAGATGCAGTGTAAATAAGCGCTGCAGTGATACGTTGCCTCTATTGAAGTTTTCACATCTCCCCTAGCAAAATGTTTTGTCAGCTTAAATAAACTAGCTTCCCACTGGGCCAAGAACAAAACGAACGATACCTTTCTGATCTGATTCATGCTCTCGGCGTTGTTACCAGCGAAAGGTGATAACAGTTATAATAGATAATGGGTAGGTAACAACTCTGTCATTTGGCCTGGCTTTTGTTTCTGACTGAGAGGGAAAATAGCCTCTTTTAAAGAAGTTCATGATAACTTTTATTATGGATGAATGGATCCACAAGTTTAATTTGTACAAAAGCTGTTATAAGGGAGAAGTGCCCCAGGGGTTCAGCTTCTGGGGTGCTTTCTCTGATTCGTGGAAGTCATTTCAGCCACGCAAAGGACAGGTTCCTGCTTTGGTGGGATAAGAGGAAGGTTGGCACTTAGGGAAACAGGTATCCAACTGCAACAGACTTCCAGATTTTGACTCCACCGGCATTTGCAATCCAGCATCTAAAGGAAGCTGTAATTATTACTTCTGTCAACAGGCCTCATTCAACCAATTGCACCCATTGATTTCAGAGGGGTCTCTTCAACGGAGCTGCAACCAGGATTCCTACTAGGAGGATCTTGCAAGAGGTAGAGACCCTAGGGGATTTAGGAGCTGGATCTGAGCACTTTCATGTCTGTGGAGTCAAGGGAGTTTAGAGCTTGGAAGATGATGGTGCTTAGGTATCATAAGAGATACTCAGCCCCTGCCATGATGGAGCCAGGGTTTTTGTAGATGCCGCCAGTGTGAAGTGTCCCATGGAGTAGGACTGTGTGCGTGTTATTTTTCCCTTATCCTTTCTTCTGGGCTGTATTAACATGTTGCCTCGTGGGGAGAGAGGTTGCTCTAATTGTATACTTGGAGCAACCCCAGTAGCTTCAGTGGCATTGCCCTGGATTTGCATCAGAGTAAAAGCACAGGATCTGGCCCCAAATCCCTTGTTTTTCTGGCCACAATCTGTTGTAACATGTTCCTCGCTGCTTTTCTGTTTTCACCTTTTGCCACAGCATCTTCAATGCTGGGTACAGCTGCTATAAAAACACCCGGCCCGGTGCAGTTTCATGCAGAAAGTAGGTCAAGTATTATCTGAGGCAAAAAAAAATAAAAAATTAAAAAATACCGAGGGCTGCTGGATGAAACCAGAGGCTGTCCCTTTAAAATTTCCAGGCAGCGCTTCTGCAAGCAGCGCTGTCCGCCAGCTCTACTGTCAGCAGGGCCTCCACCTTCCCCAGGGCTTCTCTGTAATTACCTCTCACTAAAAGAAGTTTTCCTAGCAAAATTAAAATCCAAAGCACTCAGTCCTTGAAGCCCTTTTCTCTGACAAATGCCTTTGGATGAGTTGACGTGCTTATGCATCTTTAACCCGTCCAGTGGTCTTAATTTGGCAGACGTCATTTTTGGCAGCAAACGGATAACACTTTATCTTTGATTTGAAAATGCAGATAGAGCCGTTTGCCCTGTTCAATTGTTTGAATGTCTATGTTCCTATTCCTGTTAGAACCAGATGACAAACCCAAGCAGGTTTTGTGCATGTAACTCAGCAAAAAGATGCTCATAATAAACCTTTTGCACGATAAGTCCTCCAGAGTGAACACACTCTAAGCCGCTGCAGCAGCTTGGACTTGATCTATCAACTTTTTGCTGTAGCTTGTCCAGCGTAGCAGGGCCTGGACTCAGCACGATGCATGCAAAGCAGAAGATCTCTTTTGACGTGGAGTAGATCCCAGTGCTGCGGCTCCCCTCCCCCAGACTGCCACGTTGGACAGTCTGCATCAGGCGGAGAGGGCTGGGAGCTGGGAGGGGGAGAGCAGGGTTGTTGGGAGTGGTTTTTTTTCCTCCTCTAATGATAGAGCTTGGATGCCAAAAGGCGCGTTTACTTCTGAAAGCCCCATGGTGATAAGCCCTTGCTGCATGGCAGAGCCTTGTATTTCTTTCCCCATGATCTCTCTGAAATGTGCTCATTTGCCCTCAATAGAGCTGGAGTTAAACTTCCCCCCCCCTCCAAATGTTGTGTCTCGGCCCAAATCATCCAAATCAGCTCCAAATTCTATCAGCTCAGCAGAGCTCAGTCACTCGAGTCTGCGGTGCTACCACTGGCAAGTCTCCTCCGTCCCAGACTCTTCAACCTGGATACTCCCAAATCCATGGCAGGCATCCTACATGCAAGCCTCAAGCCCGGAGGCTTTGGGGTTCAGATGCCTCCTAGTTTTGCTTGTCTCTAGCCAAAAAGCTGAAGGAGCAAGCTAGGGGGAAAGCCCAAGAGCCAACCCCCATCACCATAAATGATGTAGATGAGATTCTCACATTTGGAGGCATTTGTATACTCCTGTAGTGGTCAGCCTGTCCGCAGTGCAAGGGACAGGCCTTCGCCCTCAACTACACTGAGTCATTCAAGGCTGAGAAGAAGAGTATTTCCCCTGCCGGGCAAGCAAAACCACCTGAGCCAAAACCCACCCCCTCTTATGTGCAGAGCAGAGATCCCTGCCCTTAGAAAAGAGCGTGGTAATGTACATTAAAAATCAGAGTTAGGGAAGAGTCTGCTCTGGCTCTGGTTTAAGGCAGGATGAGCTTTGCCCTGGCTGAAATGGCAAGAGCTTTGGGTCTTCGGCTGTACAGCATCTGGAGAAGGGGCTACCTTTTTTGCTCTGTGTTTGTGCAGCCCCTAGCACTGAGGCTCCCAGCTGGTGCTCCCAGGCACTGCAGCAATGCAGAGTAAACCATAGCAAACCCTTTCTTGCCAATATTACTTTCAGTGAGAGGTGGGACCTAACTCAGATCATAGAACCGGTTCCCTTAGACCTAAATCTGGATCCAAACGTCTTGATGGGATGAGACCACTGAATGGGCCCTGCTCACCCTTTGGAGAAGTTTG